AGTTCAATTTTCATTTACAGTTACTTGATAATGGGTGTAAACTTAGAGTGTCTAAACACCTGACGGAGTGATCAAGAAGCTAAACGTCAGGCAATATTCTTTTTTTTTTTTTTTTTTTTTTGAAAAACAAACAAACAAAAAACGATAGAACAATAATTGTTTCAAGTAAAAGAACAAGAAAAAAAAATTCAGCTGAAAAAACTGTTTGACAAGGTTGTATACATAAGTACGGCACTTTCGATTTTTCGATTGCCTGACATTTAGTTTTTTTCGGGGCAATCTGTTAGGCAATCGAAACTATGTCAGAATGTGTGGCGTGGTTGTGTATGCAACTTGTCGAACAGTTGTATATCCGAATTCTTTCCATTTCTCTYGTTTTATTACTTGAAATAATGTTTTTTCTATATCAACTTCGATACAAAAATCGATTGCCCGACTTTCCGTTTTTGATCACTCCGCCAGGCTGACTGACATTTTGATACCCGGTAAAAAGGAAATTATACGTCCAAACGTCGTTTTCTTTAGTTTTTTTCTTAACATGCAATCACTAAACTTATTCCTAAAGTATAAAATGCTAATGCAATTAAGAAACGAAATAAGCATTTAGCGTTTTGTCGGAAAGGAAATTTCATTTTCCACAGCCCCAATTGACCTAAATTTATATGATTTTTCTTCAGCTATCCACTTCCATATGTGATTTTCTGGATTTTTCTTTGCTGTTTTTGCGAAGATGAAGTTGTTTTATAGTTATAGAACGAAGTTTTATTCTTTTCTTTTTATTCCCAATGATCATGTCGGCCAATAAGTCTATAACTGTCAAAACTCAARGAAATTCATTTTCAATGGAACTGAAATTTTATTAGAATTGTCAACAATTCACAAAGTACAGAGCACCGCATTTTGCCGGCAAATTAACTTGAAGTTAGCTTTGTGCCGATGTTTACATGTGGCTAGTTATACCGCTTTTCCAATTGAACCTCTCCTGGCAGAGGAAATAGTTTTCCACTTTTCTCTTAGTCGCACTTCGCCCGGTTAGAAACTTTAGGACAGTCTCAATATATGAAAAGCCCAAAGTGCAGCTGTAATAGTACAAATTCAGTTCAGATTTAATCTATGCATTTTGACATTTTGAAAAGGCTGAATAAATTCAATCCAAAAGTCGTTTGTTTAGTTTGTTCATCAAGAAAGCATTTTTTATATCGTGCCGTTTTAACACATCAATCTTTTACCATAATTTTTTGATAATTCTCCCAACTATATTCCCTGCTGTGGTATTGGGCGCACTAAACTAAATATTTAACCTAAAAAAAGTATGTAATGCTTGCTAAAATGGAATTGTTTTTTTTTGTTATCGATTTGAATTTATCAATAGTAGCTAACACAGTCAAGTAATGAATATGTCTGGAGTCAGTTTCACTCTTTCAATGTAGCAGTGCCTCTAAACGAGCTAATTAAAAGCAGTCATTTATGGCAATTCATAGGAATTTCTTTTGATGGAGTTCACGAGTGGTATCACCATGAAAGAAACAGATTTAAACAGTGTTTGTAGTATTTCTGGAATCAAATTTTTAAACTTGATCGGTCAGTCTTTTGAAAGGTAATCATTTCTAGAAATTGCATCTACATCTTTGCTTAAGAATGGCGCGAGGACACAGTTCTAGGCGAACATCATCGCACCTCGCACCTCGCACCTCGCACCTCGCACCTCGCACCTCGCACCTCGCACCTCGCACCTCGCACCTCACACTAGGGAGGGGGATTTTGGAATAGCTTCTGGTTTCTTTTACCTCTCCCTTATGTAAAATCAAGCTCGATTCTCATTGGCTGAAGTGATACCTGTGTAAATTACTCCCTAAGTCATGAATTAGTTCCCTGCTCACGCGATTAACCGCTGTTAGTGAACCTGTCAGTCTGTGGGCTCAGCATTGGCGGTCTTTTGTCAAAAGTGTCAGTGGTACGTTTCCCCTCCACCGACAAAAACACATTTTTAAATAGATTAAAAATTTTGGGCTTCCTGTGCCAAACATTTCAAAATGGCGGACAAAATGATGGAAACGACGGCTGAAATATAAGATATACTCTAAGTCTTTTCTTTTGTATAACTTTTAGTCTTACTTTTCTGGGGAAAATCTGACCGCTTTCCGGAAACTAGGTCAATGAACTAKTCTTAGACCAAATCCGCCATTATTGCCTCAATGCTCACATCAAAGATGGCAARATGGCAACGGAACAAAAAAAGTCCACTGCTGCTTCTAGTCAACTGACACTACTGCTAACATACCACAGGGCACATAGCCTAAACGGACATTAAGTTGARCGAAAAACCTGATAACGATCTCTTGAATTAAATTGCTACTGAGTTTACGCTGAGTTTAATTCCAATGTGTAAACAAGAACAGACTAAGGCACTCTTAGCTGACTTACTGCAGTCAATTAGCAAACTCGCTGATAATAAACTTCAAGTAAAAAAGGTTTCTAATAGTCCATAGTTTGGCGGATACTAAGGATATGCATGTATAATTATTTCCCAAATGTAATTTTTTCACTTTTAAAGTCTCGTTTCTTCAATATTATTTCCTAAGTTTCTCACTCCGTTCGAAGTATCTTTTCTTGAATTATGTGCTCGTGTCACTTGGGTCTTTTGATCTTTTATCTGTCTTTTCCGGCGTCTATTACAATTTCCACAAAACATTTTCTTGGCTCCGTCTTGATAATCTCTTAAAAAGGCAAGATATACAACCGGACTTAAGCAAGAGTTGACAAGGGGCAGGAAGTGTTTTAGATAATCTAGAGTTTCCCAGTCGAGACAAACACTGCTGTRACGCTGYTGTTTGTCTCTAGAATRAACMACTAGGTAAAYAAACTTGTCGAAAAATAGAGGACAATACGTCGAGTACAGTATAATGGAAAACAGGACCATTTTTATGGCTCTTGAGGTCTTCTTCAAGCGAGCTCGAGCTTGTTCCTCTGACATATGYGCGATAATCACCTGTGGTCTGTGAAGTCTCTTGAGAGATATAATAGTGAGTGTCAAAATGMCAAGAAATGTTAGCAMRGCTGCGGAAGTCTCAAAGCATCTCCATTCGTTTTGGTCCAGAATTCTACATTCATTAGGTCTGTCTCTTTCTTCTACGATAGCAAACAAGCCAAAGCCACTTAACAGCATYGGGAAAAACCAAGAACARCCAAGAATTACAAGCCGTCTTGTCTTTGTATATGGGCGCGGTKCTTGCATTGTTGGGCTTGTTGCTTTGAACCKCTCAATRCTGATTATTAACAGAGAGCTTAAAGTAACCAAAGGTGAAGTGTGTTTGAGAAATTGAAAGGTTTTGCACATGAGATTGTCCAGTATGGCGATATTGGTATTGGCAAAGAAGTTTTTTAAGCCCAACAATGTTGCTGCATCGAAGAAGCATCCCATCACAGTAACTAAGATATCTGCAACCGCCATGTTGACAATTAAATGAGTAAGGTTTCTCCGGATGGTGTATTTTAGAGAAAGAATAATAATGAATGCATTGCCTAAAATACTGATTGCTCCAACAATAAGAATGGCGCTGCCTTTGACATAAGTTGTTTTCGTCACTTGGGAATCACTTGGGATAAACTCGCAAACCTTAGAATCATTCATTGTCAAAGAATATTCTGAAGAGGTTTAATACTGAATAATTCTAGAAATATGTTGATGTTATAGTGAAATTCGTCGCTCACTGATTCAAGTCGGGATGCAACTTTTCAAAGTCGAAATGCTTAAAAGCTTCAAATCAATGAACTCTGCAAGTTTTGAAATACCAAAAGGAAAATAAAACGTTTTCTCGTTTCTCGACTGGCAGTCTTTGAAAGTGTATTTCATATATCGCTCTTAATAAAGATTTTCAAGGTAAATTCTCTGTCCATATGAAGTGGTRCTCTTGGCACTTGGATGTATCTCCTACAAGAGATGGGGCAATTCATGGCATGTCTTTAAATTTGATCTTTCAAGAAAGCTTCCGCCTTGAGTTTTCGTTTATGAACTAGTTCGTCTTGCCTGGTAAGAGATGTTCTCGCGATTCTGCCACACCAGCTGAGCAACTGACGACTTTTCAAATTGGAAAACTGGACTTTCCCATACTCGAAATGCTTTTCAGTCAACTTCTTCGTCGAGGACGAACTGCGATTATGTCAGTTTTGATTGATTGCTTGTAACATATCAACAACATCATCCTTCACTGTCAATGTTCATATATTTTCCAAATCAAGTTTTAATAAGATCTGTAAACAATTCACAAGGCACCGCAAGTTTAAATTAATTTCATGGAGCAATCAAAAAATGAAATGACAGCTGCAAAATAAGATGTACTCTAAGTCTTTTCTTTTGTTTAACTTCATTTAAACTCTTGCTTTTTATTACATTTCTGGGGAAAATCTGACTGCTTTTCGGAAACTAGTTTATTGAACTAGAGTGTTAGACTAAATCTGCCATTATGGGCTCAATGCTCACATCAACGATGCAAACGGAATAAAGAAACCACTGCTACTTCTAGCCAACTAATATTGCTGCTAGCATGCTACATGATGATGGAAACTAGTCGRTGTTTATTTACWTKTGACGTCTATGAAACTCTTACCACTATAGAATGTTTCTTTCAAGTCAAATAAAACCAAACAACTTTTTAATTGTGTTTACATTAGTGAAATTTGACYAAAAAATTTCGGAAAAACCTTTCGGGTTTAAACAATACAAGTTTTCACGACAGATTTTGTTTGGTGTTGTACAATAGTTTTTATTAGAAGTTTCGAAACGTGAAAGTGTCAACATTTGCAACACTTCTACATTGCAGTGTCAGCTTCGACATCGTTTCCAAAGTTACGCTCTCCTTCCACTGTATTTTTTCTTGAAATGCTTTCTAATACACGTGTTATTTGCGTTGCCTTATCTTTTACCYTATTTTGTCGTCTTTTAGAACATCCACAGAGCATTTCGTTGGCTCCCTCTTGATAGTCTTTCAAAAACAGAAGGTAAACAAACGGACTTAGACAAGAGTTAACAAGAGGTAAGAAGCGTATTACATAGGTTAATGTTTCCCAGTCGAGGCAAACGTTGTCACGTTGCTKTCGGTCTCGAGAAAAAATTAYAAYGTAMCCAAATYTGTAGAAGGCAWYAGGATAGTACGTTGTGTATAGCAGAAGTGAACACARGACCATTTTTACWGCTCTTGAGGTTCTTTTCAAGCGAGCTCGAGCTTGTTCCTSTGTCATATGTGTTACAATTGCCTGCGKTTTGTGAAGTCTTTTTAGAGAAATAAGAGTAAGCGTCAAAATTACGAAAAATTCAAYCACTGTTGCACAARTATGGATGCTTCTCCAGTAGTCCATTTCATYAATKTTAACRTTGCATACATTTCTTTTCTTCTTCTTTTGAACGGTTGCGAATAGTCCAWAGCCACTCAACAGCATCGGAAGCCCCCAACAAAAGCCAAGAATAAGCAAMCGTCTCTTTGTCGTATATGGGCGCGGTGCTTGCATTGTTGGGCTTGTTGCTTTGAATCTTTCAATGCTGATTACCAATAGAGAACTTAGAGTAACTAAAGGCGAAGTGTGACTGACAAATACAAAAGTTCTGCACAAAATATCATCCAGTATAGANAGGCCAAAAGGTTACATTCAAAAACTTTAAAAAAGTTGCAAATTTCTTATAGAAATACCGGAAGTTCTTTCAGCTTTCTAAGAGTGCCGATTCAGCTCAAAATATATCTTTACGAGGTTCAACCTGCACTAGAAGTGGCGTACTTTCAAGCRATGAAGGCGTTGTCCTYAAAGAAGCGTGAAGYCGTATTCCATCTGTTTCTCATCTACAARATGATTTTCATWATCAAGGTCTCTATCTTTAGKAAGTATCACCTCATTGGTGCATGGAGCAWCGCATGTATTAACTTTTCATCTTTCAAGGGGCATACCGCGTTGAATAATCGATTATCACTCATAARCAAGYTCTCCTGATCGAGAGATATATTTGATGACTTYTTTTGGCTTGATGTGAGATCCTTATTCTGGACTTATAGYTAGTTGTTCTCTCTAGTTCTTTAGATTAGAACTTTTTGGGCGATCTATGACTGGTGCTTGATCTGATTGTGTTTTTTCAAATCAACTTGTACAAACAGTAATAATCTTTATCCGAGTTTGATCACCAATATAATGCTGAAAAACTAATAATGATAATTAAATTGTTCATAACAAGAGACATATATTTTTTTTCTGCTGCTGTAATCGGCAAAAATGTCTTGGCTTATGGAACTCTATCTTAAACTATCTTCCCTGTTCTTATTTGTGATTATTTTAATTATTATTTTTACAAAAAGTGTTTATGTGGTATTGAAAATGAATGTTAGAAGTATAATTTTAAATTTTGTTTTGATTTCTTGTCAATGCTTATAAAAATTAATAAGAGTAAAGCAATATGTTTTTAACTGTCAAAGATCAGAACAAATTTCCAATGTAACTGGGCTTTTATTAGATTAGTCAACAATCCACAAAGTACAAGGCACCGCAGCTTGTAAACAAAATTAACCTGAAGTTCGCTTTGTGCCGATGTTTACATGTGGCTAGGGCATTTGAATCCTCTTCGGGGAAGAATAAGCTTGCGCTAGCTTTCAATTAAGACGCTTGCTGTCAAGCTAGTTGATACATAAGACTACAGACGACTTTCTATATGGATTGGACGATTCAATCTGCTGCTGGGGAGTACCTGGGAATTTTAGTAGTGTAATGTACACGCCTTCGTCCTTTGAAGAAGAACACTGCCCTGCAGACCAGAATGGTAACTGAAGGCCAAAGTCATGCCGAAGTCACGCCGAAGTCCTCCAAAGGAGAACAAAACCGAARAATGCCTGTAACCAAGATAACTTTCTCAGAAAGAAAGTTTTCTTTTTTTGAAAAATGTTATTAAAWACAAATAAAAAAWTATCAAAAARGTGGAAGAATACTTTTAACAAAGGGGAATGGCCCTGGACCTTTACGTTGGCTACTGCGGTAAGACCTTCAKCTTCAGAGATTTMAATGCTGATAAATAATAASCTTCAAAATTCACATTTGTGAGACTCATATGAGCTTTTTGAGGACGTTTAATGCACAAGGAAGGGAGAAAGAACAATAGAGTCAAGGAAGGATTAAGCTAGAGATTAATTAAAAACCAAGGAAGAAAACGAAGAATATAAGGGAATATGAACTTTTTAATTTTTTAGTTGAATTAGGATATTTTTTTAGAATGTTGTGGTACATAATTATGAATATTTGGATTTACAGGCTTTGCAGGAAGAAAATTACAGTTTACAGGATACAAGAAAAATACAAAATATACTGAACAGAGTTAGGATATCTTTTTCTTTTTGTTAGTACTTGAAAGTACTTTCGGTCTGGCTAAGAACGCGTTCGTCGTGAATTCTAGGGCCGACGGGATATGGCAAGTCGTCGTAGCATTGGCTCGGAAWTACATCGTCGAATCAATACTACGTTGTCGGAGACTCGTAATGAAAATAGGCTCATCGTGTCCCGTTCGTTGTCCAAAAGTCGGACTGGGATTTCGACGTTGTTATCGAGCCATCTTCGAACCATGTCGAATCGAGTGTCGCAGCTGTTGTAACAAGATAAAGAATTGTTGGATGATTCAAAACCAATCAAAATCATTAAGATGGCACACTAAGGGTRCAGGAGAAACTTCTKGACACATAGAGAATAGTCTCCTTCATGGTTCCCTACGCCATGTTCAAAGGTGACCGGGTATTTTCATGGAGTAAGACGATGGGTGAGCGTTCAATAACTAACAACGTTAACACCTGAAGACTTGAATAATTTTCACCGGTATCTATCATGTAAAGCTCACTTTCACTGCTCGCTTCGAGACAAAGTCATGATTACCTTTCAAAATGGCTAGAGTAGGGGAACGTGAAAAACACTGCTGCTTTGTTCATTGCTTCCATACTAGCAGTTTAGTTATGATAAAATAATTCCGTGATTCTAAATTCTAGTATATGGAATGTAAGAATAAAGTTTTATCATCATCATCACCAAAATCATCTTCAAAATCGGCATCAATTTCACATTGGATGCCATAATTATCCCCCCATCTGACCTGATCTGATCTCGAATCGTCAAGGCAACAACATCCGTCGGAAGACTAGTATATGAGTCGACCAATATCTCAATTCGATTACGTAACGTAGTGACTGTAACGTAAAATCTTCCGAGGAATTCGTCAGCAAATTCGTGAACTTCATTGATTGTTCTGCGAACTCTCGACACTGGCTCTTCAACGACGCAACGCGATACGTTCCGTCGGAGCAGCAGGTAGAATGAGAGTATATTGCAGAGGTGCGCTCTAAAAAATCGACAAAATATAAAAAGTTAGCATCAAAAAGGATTCATAAGTAAACATTGTCAGTACTAGTGGTAAACTAGTGTAAGCTGCGTCGATGTTTATAAAGGAAACAGTTGTGTAGTAAAAAGATAAATTTTAACACCGTAAAAAAGTAGGTGAAATAACTTACTAACGTTTCTTTGCTCATCTCTTTATATAAACTCACACTCAGTTTCATCTCTTTACTCCGACGAAGGATTAACTTCCGAAAAATTAGTTTCACCTACTTTTTTACGGTGTTAAATTTATCTTTTCAAGAGTACCCAACGACACCGCTCCACAAAATAACCGCTCCACATCCTATTTTTTGACTGGCCTATTTTTTGACTGGCTTTTTACACAACTGTTTCATAAGTGAACGTCTAATATCGGCAAAGAACATGCACTCGTTGGAGCATTAGACGGACATGGATAACCTGCAATAAAAATAGCGTGGGGCATACATAGATTCGGTGCGTTTTTAAAACGCCGTTATGTTCTGATTATGATTATGACTATGACTATAGACACATATACCTGATAGATTCAATGGGAATCCACGATCTGACTACTCTTAATGAGTCTATCGAGTTAACTGTCAAGAAAAAATAGATCAGTAGTCAAAGCAGGTTTTTATAATGAATGAGGGAAGAAATGACCAAATCATACCCCCCCTCCCACCACAAAAAAGTAATAGTCTTCTTCACGGTTCCCTGCGCCATTTTGAAAGTTAACCCTGTCTTTACATCGAAGCTAGACAACCACTGAGCGTGCAATGATAGATACCTGTGAATAATTGTCTGTAGGTGTGAAAGAAGGTTTCTATTACTGCGAGCTCAAATTTCATCTTGCTTCGATGCAAAGGCACACCTACCTTTCAAGATGGCGCAGGATACCGTGTAGAAGACTATTGCTATGATGAACAAAGGCAAACAAATGCTTCAACAAATTTCACTTACTTAATCGCATATACCATGCAGAAGCCTTTCGCATCTTTTCACGAAAGTATAAATAAAACTGTAGGAAACAGTACCAGCATAGCATCAAAACTCCAACTGTTACAACAATAGGAGTTAGAACCGGCAACAGGGCAATATTGATGGCAAGTAGGAATGGTGCCGAGGCTGAAAGAGTCATGACGCACATACAAATGATAAAAAGAACATTGAGGACAAAAAGCCTTCTCGCTGTTCTTCTCGTAAGTTCTGATAAATTTGCTCTGAGTTCGCGCAACATTCTGTTGGCATTWTCCATATGATAKGACGGTGGTTGGCTCCAGTCGATATCTGCAAAACAACCAACCGTTTCTAAATGTATCYATAGTATAGTTAGAGTGGCAAATACAAGAAACGTTTCTATGGGAAATTGTATGAAGTAATTTTTTATTATTTAGCTTATATTTCGAGAGGGCGCGCGGGACGAATGAGAATTCCTCGGCAGAAAGATACCAAAAGAATTTATTATGTTGCGTTTAAAATTTTTTTTGAGAGCAGCAATGAACCCTTGAATATCAAGGACATAGAGGGAAATAATGTGGCATCATTCGGGCAAAGATACATGTTGTGAGCAAAACATTTTTTGCGCACCATGTTTAGCGTTTTTCAAAAGATATATATCACTATATTTTGTCAATATGTATATTTTTAAGATTTAAAAATCTTTCAGTTGCCAGCGTTTCTTATAGCGCGCGTATTTTGCATTTAACTTTTTCGTTACACAATGGAATGCGTTCTAGATTGCCTGAAAGGAGAATTCTATGCTKTCCGCTGTGCTAACGAAGCTCGCTCTAAATTGTGGATGAAAGAAAYATTATTTTGGTAACTTACCATCGATTGATCTGTCTAACTCATCAAAAATGTATCTTAATACTCTAAACATGATTTTTGGTCAWAAAGTTTCGGTTTGTTTGAAAGTGTATTTCAAAATGAGCTAATTAACCATTCTGACGTCAGTGAAATGTTTTTTTATTGCGTTAATTAGTTAATTATAAGAGTCTGAAAATCCAAAACTTTTACAATAATCGATAAAAAGATGAAAAATAAGCTATAATAGAGAAATGCAGAAAAAAGGCTTTTAGACATCCGAAGAGAGTTTTACAAACAGAAAAAGTCATCCTTATATATATGAACATTTAAAATACGTGGGTTTCCTGTTGCGCTACACCACCGAGGAAGGATTGAGACTAGCAAGAAAGTGACGCCTGGATATTAACATGTTCTCGGGATCTCATTGTGACTAAGAATATTTTTTTAACTTCCGAGTTTCAGATGTTTTATAACAGACTTCAGACATGCAAAGCTCACATCATCTCCAGTTTCAAAGCAAGATGAAGATGAGAGATATTGGAGACGATGCAGAAAAGATACGACGGCTCAAAGGACTTCCAAAAGGCCTGCATCTTCCGTTTGAAATACGGAATCCCTGGATGAAGACAACTTTTGAAGAAGACTTCATTTTGATAACTGAATTTGCAGAGAACGAGGGTCCAAGAGATGTGGTATTTTACCTAATTSGAAATATTGTTTTGCGTTATATTTTGCATTTCAAATACCAATATAATTTCTACATATCAAATTATTGCGCATTGATATGGTATCTTTGTTAAACATTCTTCCAAGAAAAAGGATATTTTCGCTTTTCATTCAAAAGAACTTTTGTTTTTCCAGTAGAGTACAAACAGTAAAACACTTTGCACTATTTACTACAAAACAGTGCTAATTAAACAATAGAAAACAATAGAATTAGCATAATTTACCAGTATTTGAATAGTGGTATTTATTTGCACAGTTTTAGTGTTTGTATTCTATCAACAGCGTTATTAGTGATATATAAATTTTATGTTTTTGTTTCTTTAGCTAACCTTACCATCAAATGGCGGTGGTTCATTTGACAARAATGCCTTTGCCCTTCATGTCATGTCGGTGGATTTTCAGTCTCAGAACAGGTAAGTAAAGTTATAATACAGAAAACACTGAATACTGAAGATACTGTAGTCCTAGTTCAAAGTACATTGTTGGTCATTCTATTGCAATTCAAAAGAAGTTGTCATGGTTTMAGAGTGACTATACCAACCTAAATGTATTAGAGTCAAGAACTTCAATGGAAAGTAATAAAGTTTAGAATTATCATTTAAGTTAAGCAGCTAACATGAGGTTTAACTCCTCGAATTGCTCTCTTGGAATGCACTACAGTTGTATGCAGTGACAATATTTTCAGTAGAGCGGATTTCGTATGAGTGGGAAACGAATGGCACTGTACTGTGACCGTAATGGTACTGTAACCAAATTCTAGGCCCCTTTGGTTCACAAAAACTGTTCAGCAGCCAGGTCTGGTAACTGTGCGGTAGCCGTGCGGTAACGGTGTCCCACTCATGCGAAATCCACTCTATTCAATGTTTTCTGAAATAACTGTCACAGAGAAATAGACCATTTGAATACTTTAGGAAAAAGAATACATTGAAAAAAGGCAGAAGCTAGATCATATTTTTCTTTCTTGATTAAAAAATTAATGCCATTCTAGTGAAGTAAAAATGTTCTATTTCTCTATCTTCATTTTTGCAATTAAGTTTAAATATAAATATTAATTTTAATCATTTACAATTTAGAAATGCTGAGTTCAGTATCACTGATGACACTCAAATGGTTCTTTCTGATAAAAAGGCTGGAATGTGTGCATTTGTAAGTTTTTTCAAAGCTATATTTTTTTTATTCAGATTAATAATTGCTGTAAACTAGCATGAATGGTACTTTACAACTAGATCTCTTTGTGCCTGTGTGTACTCTGATAATTTTAAAGGGTGAATATAATGGAGGGGTTAAAGGAGGGAGGAGGAGGTCTCCCCTCTTTTTGAGAAAATATACCATGATTCAAGTATATGTTTTAAGTGGCCACAAGTAGAGTACAAACACTAAAACTGTGCCACATAAATACCACTAAATACTGCTAAATTATGCTAATTCTATTGTTTAATTAACACTATTTTGTAGTAAATAGTGGAAAGTATCACACACATTTAATGTTTGTATTCTACTACAACCTGTAATTTAACAAAAGTAGCCAGCTCAAAGGTCAGAATATGTAGATGTTGGATTATGACGACTGACATCTTCTAATGAAATCCAAGTAAATAATTGATTTTTTTTATTAATTAATTTCTCATCAATCTTTTCAGGTTCATCATTTTACACTTTATGATATTCATGCAAGAGGCTATGTACGGCCATTTTGTATGAGTTACATCACTGACAGCAAAAGGTAAACTTTTTT